GGTACACTGTAAGAACTTAAGGTGTTTATAGTCTAGAGTAAATTATTATTTTTATTATTATTATTATTTAAAACAATTAGACATCCAATAAAATGTAGGTTTTTCTCCAAATTAATCATGTAGCAGCACATTTCTATGACCAATTTTTGATGTTTTTTCATGTCAAAACTTCACTCACCTTATATTGTAATTCATAATATTTAATTTTTTTTTTCTCATAAGCAAATCTTAAGGACATATATGGGGAAAAACTTTGGAATCACTTTGGATCGCTAAATTTACACTTTTGGAACAAAAGTGTACCATGGTAACATTGGTCACATGTCAATCATTCTTCACCAGACACTACTTAACTTCTAAATTTGTCCCCAAACATGGCCTCTGATCCTTAGTTGCTGCCATGTTCATTGTGTTAGTTTTGTATAAAATAAAAATGCCTTCCTAAGGGTACGATGAAAAGAAAACAATAGTAACAGTACTAGTTGTTCCCATGGTCTTAACTAGAAACTTCATTTCTAAAAAGAAAAAAGAAAAAAAAAATTTTAATTGATTCCTCTTGTCAGTGGAAGGTAATGAAGTTTGGTCTTTGTAAATTTCTGAAGTTTATTTTGAAGATCATCTCATATGAGTAATAATTACCAAGTGATGCAAATTTGTTTTTAGTAGTCTTGACTGTGGACCTTATTGACAGACGGGAATTACGGGCACTATTTGTCTTCTTGATGATGAACCAACAACAGTTGGCAGACATTGTGGGCACATTGATGTTAGTATATGTGAAAGTCAAAAGGTCAGCTTCTCTATTGCAGTAACAATTCAGCCCGAGTCTGGACCAGTTTGTCTCTTAGGTACAGAGTTTAACAAGAAAGTGTGCTGGGAAATCCTCGTGGCTGGTTCTGAACAAGGTATTGAGGCTGGACAAGTTGGTCTTAGATTAATTACCAAAGGTGATAGACAAACTACAGTAGCAAAGGAATGGAGTATCAGTGCAACTAGCATCGCTGATGGAAGGTGTTCATCTTTACTTCGTAAACAATTTTTTTTGTAGATATATTTATATACATATATATTGTTGATGCGTTCATGCTATGTTATTGTCCTCTTTGATTTTCCCTGCCTGGCTTTTCTGTCTTACTAGGGGATTAAATTGTTTGCAGGTGGCATATGGTAACCATGACTCTTGATGCTGATTTGGGTGAGGCCACTTGCTATCTGGATGGAGGCTTCGATGGCTACCAGGCTGGCCTGCCATTGCGTGTGGGCAATAGCATTTGGGAGCAGGGAACAGAAGTTTGGGTTGGTGTTAGACCACCTACTGATGTGGATGCATTTGGGAGGTCAGATAGTGAAGGAGCGGAATCCAAGATGCATTTAATGGATGTTTTTCTTTGGGGAAGGTGCTTGACTGAAGATGAAATTGTTGTCTTTCATACTGCTATGGGTTCTGCTGAGCTCAGTATGATTGATCTCCAAGAAGATAATTGGCAATGGGCAGATTCTCCTTCCCGGGTCTGTGCCTATATTTACTCCATTTATATAATAGTGATACATTCTAGTTTTCCATATATTCTTCTTAGATCAGAAATTTGCAATATCCAGTAGTTTGTCTTCTTTGTATAATTAGGTGACATTTTTGGTTGAACCTATATACTGATTGCTACTTCATCTGTTCTACTCAGGTTGATGAGTGGGATAGTGATCCTGCAGATGTGGATCTTTATGACAGGGATGATGTGGATTGGGATGGGCAATACTCAAGTGGGCGGAAACGAAGGTCAGATCGTGATGGGTTGGTAGTAGATGTGGATTCTTTTGCCCGAAAGTTGAGGAAACCTAGGATGGAAACACAGGAAGAAATCAATCAGCGGATGCTTTCTGTTGAATTGGCTGTCAAAGAAGCCCTTTCTGCAAGAGGGGAAACACATTTTACTGATCAGGAGTTTCCTCCAAATGGTCGATCTTTATTTGTTGATCCGGAGCACCCCCCTTTAAAATTGCAGGTACATCTCTGATCTATTTGTTTCGTGTCCAATGCATTTAGATATTTTACTCATTTGTGGTGCTTCAGCTTTATGTGCTGTCCTAATCTCAGCCTTCTTAACCTAGGTTGTATCGGAATGGATGAGGCCAACTGAAATAGTGAAAGAGAACTATCTGGATTCTCGTCCTTGTTTATTTTCTGGAGCTGCAAATCCTTCTGATGTCTGTCAGGTTTGCTCTCCTTCAGAACGGGCATGTATTGTTTATTGTTTTTGTGTTTGGGGGGTGGGTTCATGTTTTTTTTTTTTTTTTTTTTTAATGTATTAGAATTTATATTTGAATCGACATAGTTCAATGCTTAATATTTCTTCCAAGTGGCTCACCTCTTCTGTGCACAGGGCCGACTCGGTGATTGTTGGTTTTTGAGTGCTGTTGCTGTTTTGACTGAGGTTTCACAAATATCAGAAGTTATAATTACACCAGAATATAATGAGGAAGGAATCTATACAGTTCGTTTTTGTATTCAGGTAACTAATTCAGTTTAAAAGTTGGAGAACTACAACTTATGCTATCTAATCTGATGATAAAAAAGTGTCTTAAAATCTTACATTATATGTTGAACATGCTTAGATGACTTGTTTTATACTCATGGTAAGCATATGTTAATTAGACTCCTAGAAAGTTGTCTTCATTAGTGGGTTCATCGCGACGAAGAAAAATTATGCATAGTTCTCTAGAGCTGACATATTTATCCTTGTGGCTGTGAGACCTAGTAATATGGTGGTAGTATAAAACCTCATGGAACATGCTACTGAAACGCAATCCAGAGGTCCTTGGCACTTGGTGAGTTTTTAAGGTGGGAACTCTCACTTGAGATTATAAGCTTTGGTTTAGTAACCTCTTGAAATATGCGGTGTATGATTAAGAGTGATGCTAACATAATCCCATTTCTTACCTTATTTTCTCACTCCAAGACACAAAGCAATGGGGCCCACATCAATAAATGCACAAGAGACCCATTCACTTGTGTTTAGGAGTGAGAAAAGGAGGTAAGAAATAGGATTATATGTAGTATTTTTCTGTGATTGATAATCTTTGAAGGTAGTAATTAGGTGGCACTAGGAAAGTCATCATGCGATGTTCTATAGAACTAGGGAAGTGTGAGGGTGATTTTTATTTCAGAATGTAATATTGGCTTTTAAATGCTCCCCAGAAATTTATGTGATATAATTATCCTTGAAACTATGCAATGCTGTAAACATAGGAAGCTGAAAGCTAAGAATATGGGTCCCATGGCAATCAATAAGCCTTTTTGCTCTCTGTCAAAGTTGACCATTGTAGTGATATAATTGTTCATTCAGTTTTATGCAAGTTTATGTTTCAAGGAGTTACAATCATATTAATAATTTAGGTTTTGGGGCTGCTAGAATGGGCTTAATTATGTATTTTAGGTAAGAATTGATAGGTTTGTTGGGTTCAAACAAAAGTTTGCCAAGTTGGCTTAATTGGCGTCCAAAGATTACTTGGCATTGGTGACAACCAAGTCTCATTAGACACCCAGTTTCCTTGACTACCAAGCCTTAGTTCTTTATGGGTGGTGAGATGTGGGTAGAATGTAGATATGGTTGCAATATTTGATGTACATTTCTTACCAGTATGGGTATCTATGAACCTCCAAAGCAAAGCAAAAAGTATCTACGAACCTAAGCATAGTGTGTAAGGTTTTTAAATCAATCTCTTATCTTTTCTGTTTCTTCTACTTCGAGCAATTCTTACCGTTTCTTGAATTGATCGAAAGCTACTACTGTGGCCTAGAAAGCAAAGAGAAAAACCCTTTGGATCCCAGCAATCATTGACATCATGGGGAGTTAGTCTCACTGATGATACAATTTCTAAAATAAAAGTGTCCATTCTATAGACCTTAGACAATTGTCCTTGCCAGTTGCAAACTTCCCTGGTAAGCATGTGAGGTTAATGAATATGCTAATGATATGGACAGGGGGATGTCCTTACATGAAGGGTCTCTCACGAAGAAAAAGACGTAATTAGTGCAATTGACCCAAAATAAAGGGGTCTATCTACCTTTTTCTCAGTGCTGCTTATCGAAAAGAAGCATGCACATCTGAAAAGTCAAGACCTATGAAGAGAAAGAGGGAGTGATTGCGGAAAGAGAAACACAGTACAAACAATGGCATTAGGACATTCAAAGGTACAAATATTGGTAGATCAACTCTTTAGATTTGTACGATCAGATGAACGACTTGCTTTGTCAATATGAGCTTTTCATACAAAAACTCCATTTTCCCAAAATCAAAGCAGGAAAAAAAAAAAAAAAAAAGAAAGAAGAAGAAGAAAAAGAGAGAGAAAGAAATAAAAGGAAAAGAAGAGCAACAGTGAAAAATTGATGTGCTGAAAAATCTCTTCTTCTGACTCCGCTTTGTTGTTCCTTTAGGCCTTGTTTGGCAACTTGCTTTTTGGCTAAAAAACAAGGCAAAAAGCTACTAAAAAAGTCAAAAAAACCACTACAAAAGCCAGTCATACACACCAGTCATTCATGTGTTTACCGTACAACTAAAAAGATTCATTCCCAAGCACAAACTTTTTTTCCTTTGCTCAAAAAGTCACTAAAAAAGCCTAACGCCAAATGAGGCCATACTTTCTAATTATGATTATTTTTTTTGGTGAATAGTTCTATTTTTTCGATTGGTGTTTTAATGAACAGGCATACTAACCCTTGATTACTCGTGCAGACAGTCATAAGTAGCATACAGCCTACTGTTGTGGGATCTAATACTGCAGTTATAGGGATAAGATAAATTCAAATTCTTTACCTAATGTTTTATTGGTTTACCACTTAGACATAATCGATTAGTATATTAGTTAAAGAGGAAGTAATTGATTGTTGTTATGATTGGCTACTTCACTGAAAGAAGCTGAATGAATTTTTGCTTTTGGTGGTCTTCCATTTTAGGGTGAATGGGTTCCTGTGGTCATTGATGATTGGATTCCATGTGAATCACCTGGTAAGCCTGCATTTGCTACGAGTAGGAAGGGGAATGAACTCTGGGTCTCTATATTGGAGAAGGCATATGCCAAATTGCATGGCTCTTTTGAGGCATTGGAAGGTGGGCTTGTCCAAGATGCTCTTGTGGACCTCACTGGAGGTGCTGGAGAGGAGATTGACATGAGAAGTGCACAGGCCCAGATAGACCTTGCAAGTGGAAGACTATGGTCTCAATTGTTGCGCTTCAAACAAGAGGGATTTCTACTAGGTGCTGGGAGTCCTTCAGGTTCAGATGTTCATATTTCTTCCAGTGGGATTGTGCAAGGGCATGCTTACTCTTTATTGCAGGTGGGTTGTTTTTGACACCTTTTGTCTTGAGCATTTCTTTGACTCTAAAGAATTTTGCATGAAGTGCTCATTCCTCTTTTCCAATTCTTGTTCAGGTAAGAGAAGTAGATGGCCACAAACTTGTTCAAATTCGAAATCCATGGGCAAATGAAGTAGAGTGGAATGGCCCTTGGTCTGATTCATCACCTGAATGGACTGATAGGATGAGGCACAAGCTCAAGCATGTCCCACAGGTAATCATTGTGCTTGCCATGTACAAGTAGGGCTGCAATCGAGCCAAGCCGAGTTGAGTTTTCAAGTGTTCAAGCTCGGCTCTGTCAAATTTAAGAATGTTCAGGCTCGGCTTCAACTCGAATCGAGCTACCCTAACTAAGCTCGAGCTTGGCTCGTTGAATTTTAGTTAAGCTTGAGCTCGACTCGAGATAGCTCGAATCTATTAAAATATTACAGCTGCTGCTCGGATTAACAAGTCTAAGAGAGATACATTCAGGCACATCCACACTTAATAGAAGAATCATTGTAGTCATTTTCTTCTTGTGGAGCGATGTGGGACAAGGAAACCGAATAAGCAAATAACCTGTGCAACCCACTAAGTGGTTTCAGTCACACATGTTAGTTCTTGAGATAGCATGTGTGTATACATTGTAGAGGCTTCAATATCTATTGTAGATAGTGACTTTTTCCAGTTAATCTCTATTAAAAAGACCATCTGAAAAAATTTAATCACTATACTAAAGGACCCATGCAAAATATATAAGTTTTATACACTAATAAAGTTTTAGATGATTCAATCTCTTGTATTCTCGACAACAAAGAAAAATCCCCTTGTTTGCACAATACTTCTTGTTCCACACCGACTGCATAAGGATGCATTAGGCATCCAGTTCTCTATAAAGGTTGGTAGCAATATATGAGAGTCAAATATATTTAACAAAAATATAAAGTAAAAAACATATACGTATACATATATATATTTCCATAATGTAATATTAATATTAATAATTTCATTAATTAATCTAAACGAGTCGAGCCTAATCAAGTCAAGCTTGCCTCAAATTGAGCCTGGCTCGCTAACTTATCGAGCTTGTTTGTTAGGCTCGAGCTCGGTTTATTTAGTAAATAAACGAGTTTGAACGACCTGTAACCGAGCCAAGTCTCGAACTGTTCATGAACAGCTCAATTCGTTTGCAGCCCTAGGTACAAGTGCTCACTGTTAATTATTTTCTTTTTCTTTTTTTCCCGTTGTATTTTTGGGATATTTTGCTTACATGTTTGGTTGATATTTCATTAATCTGATTTTCATTTGCTTCATGCCTAACTGTTTTGTTGGTCAGGCAAAAGATGGTATTTTCTGGATGTCTTGGCAAGACTTCCAGATTCACTTCCGGTCAATATATGTTTGTCGCGTCTACCCCTTGGAGATGCGTTATTCTGTTCATGGCCAATGGCGAGGTTATAGTGCTGGTGGCTGCCAAGATTATGATACATGGCATCAGAACCCACAGTTCAAAATCAGGGCCACTGGGGCTGATGCATCATTTCCAATTCATGTATTCATCACCTTAACTCAGGTATATATCGCAATATGCCTTCCAGCAGATTATATTCATTAACTATTGTTGACTGGAAAACACACTTGTCTGACTTTAAATATTTTAGGGCGTGAGCTTCTCGAGGACTTCCGCTGGTTTCAGGAATTACCAATCCAGTCATGACTCAATGATGTTCTACATTGGGATGAGGATACTCCGGACTCGTGGTCGTCGAGCTGCTTACAATATTTATATGCATGAATCAGTAGGTGGGACAGACTATGTCAATTCTCGAGAAATATCATGTGAAATGGTTCTAGATCCTGACCCAAAAGGTTACACAATAGTGCCTACTACTATCCACCCTGGAGAAGAAGCACCATTTGTTCTTTCTGTGTTCACCAAAGCATCTATAACTCTTGAAGTTTTATAATGCACAGTGATTGCTCATCAGTTGGTTTTGTTTTCATTTGGCTCAATGCACATCTGCCAAATTTTGGATTGCTTGGGTTTTGCGTGGATCATCAGTGCCTGCAATCAGGTTGAATGAATTCCAATGGGTTGAAAGAGCATCATGGTAATTTTCTAACATGAAGCCTTCTTTACATCCAATTGACATTTATGCTCCGTTTGTTTTTCTGGAAAACATTTTCCACATTTTCTAGCATTTGGTACAACAGAGAATGAAAGTCAACAAAAAAAAATTTCCATGATCAACAGAAAGGAAGCTTATTTAGGTGTAAAATATTTTTCACTTTTGAAAGGTGGAAAACGCTTCCTAGACTAAAGTCAACTCGACAACACCACCACTTCCTTCACAACCCCACCACCACCACTAAATATAACCACAAGCGCATTAGTTTCACGTTGCAACCAAGCCTAGGAAAAGTATTTTTGTGGAAAATGTTTTCCCTAATTTTTTTTGTTTTGTAGGAAAATATTTTCCACCGAAATAAACGTAGCGTTAGCCTGTTTTGGGTTATGATCTTGTTTGCTCTATGTTGTAGATGCTTAGTTTGCTTTGTCAAGTGGTAAAAATGGCCTTGCATCTAAGCAATATCGCCCTAGTATTTCAGATATACAAGTTTTCTTAAATTTGTTTTGCTGGAGTCTTGTTTGTCTCTGCCTATGTTACCAGAAAACGCTAATACCCTAGTGATTTACGTATTGGTATGCACGTTCCGAAACATGGTACACTTTTGTTCCAAAACAGTAAATTTAGTGATCCGAAGCGATCCCAAAAGTTTTTTCCAATATATTTCTTTAAATGTTACCTAGGAGAAAAAAAATCAAATATATGAACTAAAATCTAAGGTGAGTAAAGTTTTGACAAGACAAATAAAAAAATGGGTCATAATTTTCATAGAAATGATTTGCTACGTGAATTTTTTTTTGACACCTAATAGTTAAAAGAAAATTACTCTAAAAATATTTTAAATTCTTAAGTATAAAGAAAATTACTCTAAAAATATTTTAAATTCTTAAGTATAACATATATGTATACTTTTATTGTACCATATTTTAGAGCATATAACGTATCACGTTCCCGTTCTCGTTCCATGTACTGGAACGATCCTTAGTTGCAGGAATCGTGGTAACAGGTCACGAATCTTCGTAAGAAACGCGATTCCGCGTTTCTTAGAAAGAAACGTGTAGGAATCGCATTTCTGTAGATAGAGAAACGCGATCCTGTCCAAGATGGGAACGTTGGTGAAGAAGAACCAAAACCCTAGCTTGTTGGTCAACAAAGAGAGAGGAGAAAGAAGGTGAAGAAGAACCTGGTTGTGTCTGGTATGTCCTTTGCTTCGTTTTTCTTCTTCTTTCATCACTTCGAAGGTTGTCTCTCTCTCTCTCTCTGTTTTTTGTCAGTTCGTCTCTCTCTCTCTCTCTCTCTGTGTTTTTCGTCTGTCGAGTTCGTCTCTCTCTGTGGCAGATCGTCTCTCTCTCTCTCTCTCGCAGATCGTCTCTCTCGTAGATCCTCTCCTTGCTGATCGCCATCGTCATCGTCTCTGCCTTCGTCTTCTCTGCCTTCGTCTCTGTTCTTCCCGATATATACGTATATATCTGATCAAAAAAAAAAATGTAAGTAATATATATAAGATAAAACATATAAATATATATATTTAAAAAATAAAAAAATATTAATACGTTATTATTTATAATTAATACATTAATACATTAATATATTTAAAGATAAAATCTTTAAATAAATATATATATTTAAAAAATAAAAAAATATTAATACGTTATTATTTATAATTAATACATTAATACATTAATATATTTAAAGATAAAATCTTTAAATAAATATATATATTTAAAAAATAAAAAAATATTAATACGTTATTATTTATAATTAATACATTAATACATTAATATATTTAAAGATAAAATCTTTAAATAAATATATATATTTAAAAAATAAAAAAATATTAATACGTTATTATTTATAATTAATACATTAATACATTAATATATTTAAAGATAAAATCTTTAAATAAATATATATATTTAAAAAATAAAAAAATATTAATACGTTATTATTTATAATTAATACATTAATACATTAATATATTTAAAGATAAAATCTTTAAATAAATATATATATTTAAAAAATAAAAAAATATTAATACGTTATTATTTATAATTTAGGTAGCATAGGTCTCTACCATTCTTTTTAGTTTTCTCTGAAGGAAGGCAAAGGTCTTTGAGTGAACAGACCAAAAGAAACTAAACAAAAAACACACGCAAAAAAGAAAAAATATAATAATAATAAAATAAAACTACACAAAATAAAAAACTGACAAGGCTGTCTAACAACGAAATGATTATCATGCATGCGAGGGCCATTTGTATAGATTGAAAGTTTTGGAGTTCCATGGTGACATGGTCCAAGAATGTAATTGTATTATTGCATGGTATTTTATGGCTTTTCTTTAATCAGCTAAATTTTGTGCATGGACATCTTCATCTGGTCTTCTTTTCTTTTTTTTTTGAGAGACGGTTCATCTTTTTATTTGGGGTATGGGTAAGTATTTAGTTCTGATAGATAGATTTGAGTGTTGGTTCAGTGGTAAAACCTTGGCCTAATAACCTTGAGGTTATGGGTTCAAGTCACGGGACAACCACTTTGTGTACTATGCTAAAGGTTAGGTGTGTACCTAATCTTTCCCCTCCCAAACACACATTAATGTGTACTAATTGGGCGTTGTTTTTAGATAGATTTGAGCATTTCCTAGTCAAATTGTCAATATCATCGAAGTTTGATCTTCTTTGTGGTTAGAACATATGTTTTTTTAAATACTACAATTCGCAGCAATGACTACAAATTAATCCAGTAAACATGTGTCCAGTGAGTGCTGCATGTGTCTTTCAGTCGCATTTGTTTTGTTGTAGGACCTATGGCATTAACTTAATCACATTCAAGATATTAAATTTGTTGATAAAGCCAGCTTCGACCTAGAAAAGGGAAAACAATTACAAAGAAAAAATCTTTTTTGTTTATTCCTACATATTGAAGATCCGGACGACTCCCTGAAGTTCATATGGCTTAAGGAATGACAGGAGGAGGCATAAAAAAATGGGAATAAACCTGTGATGAAATTGAATTGGAAAACATGTCAACCCCAAGGGGTTGGCCGAGTGGTAAAGACTTGAGGATAAGGTCCAAGGTTTCGAGCTAGAGTCACCCAAGGGGTCACTAGAGATTTACCCGGTCATTAACTTCAGGGTCCTGAGATTAGTCAAGGTGCGCAAGTTGACCCGGACACCTAGTTATCAAAAAAAGAAAATTGGAAAACACGTCCAACAGTTGCTCTTTTTGTCTTAATTTTTTCCCTCGTCCCTTCTTATATAATAATTTGTTGAAAAGCTCAAAGGTTAATCTCTCTCTTCTCTACGCTAGAATTACTAGCTCATGCGCAAGTTGTTTTCTGCTCATTTTTCTCCTCAATTGGCACCAGGCTTTGAAAGATGCATTTTCCACTGTGGTAGATCATGCTGCTCAAAATTTCTCGTCTTTTGTTTATGCATTAGACACTTCATCTGGTTATAGTGTACACCAAGGAACTTCATCTTCAGGTTTATGTGTAACAGATTATAAGTTATAGTTAACAATGCTTGTGATTTTTTATTTTATTTATTTATGTATTTTTAAAGTCCCCATACCCATCGAAATAATTACCTTAGATGATTATATGATAATTTTTATTAGAAATTAAGAGAGCAAGTTCAAGTAATACTTGACGTACACCAAGCCAGAGGCCACGATCTCAATTCTTGGCCAGACATTTTCAGATCCATAAGATTTTCACTCTCTGAAGTGTTTGGTACCGAATATTTCTTTAAAAACCTCTCTGCTTCTCTTTTCAGATAGACCAGAAGTGACATCTTTAGAGGGACATCTTCTCTGCATTGTTTTCTTTCTTGTTGTCTTTGTAGTTCATATTTTTACTCGTTAACTATAATAACAAAATTTCTTTGTTGCTGATCCATAAAAATAACTAAATAAAAACAAATTGCTGAAAATTTTGAGGTAAAACTTTTTCTTACTTCGTTAACACAGGATGCCGAAATAGTGTTTTAGACTGCTGGTAAGTACTGGGCCTGAGCCATGCGGTTGACCTGCAGTTTTTACAATACTATTTTTGAAGTGTATCTCAGCATAAAATAATGCATCATTATTAGTTTGAATCTGGTGCATAGCTACACCATTGCTTTGTTTATCTGATGTATTCCTTTAATTTACTAAATGGTTATGACAGTTTTCTCCATGCTTTTTTCACTATAATTACCATCTAGGTAGCTCAGCCTTTCGTTCTTTTTGCATTTGTTATGTAAATGCTGTAGAAGCAACTCTGCTGGTGGGAAACCACCATGCTTACAACCACCTTTGGAACATCACTTCCCAAAATAGTGGATGTACAAAGTTCTACCTATGCCAAGATGGCAATTTTTCAACAAATCATTTTTGACGCAAAACCCAAATGCATAGCTGTCCTACCTAGAAAAAGATTGAAATGCTTGAAGGACTGATATGAAGCTTATTTTTGCAGGGTTGCAATGTAATGCTGATTGGAGTTGCAAGGATAGCCTATGGGTTTCAGTTATTCATATCAACTGTTGTGCCTCTCTATTTTTTGAATCTCATTCAAGCTCAGCGCATGTCAGATCAGATACCATTCCTCAATGAGCTGGAATGTATTGTTTTTTTTTAATCTATGCAGAGGTATGATTGCATGGATATGATTTTTGCTGAAATCTTGAGGTTATCTGAGCATTATGATCTGTTTTGGTCATTTGCTTCTTCTACCAGCGTTGAGGACGGGTTCTCGGATGTAAACACTGTAAATGAGTAGGGTCATGCTGTATGAATGACTATAGGATGGATGTGATCATGTAAATTGACAGAGGTGAAAAGAAATAGGTTAAAAAAAACAAAAAAAAGAGATAGGAAAATAATTAGATGTATACCTCCTTATCAAGGGAAAGAAAGGAAATCATTGTGGCTGGAATTTGGCGTTATGTTTTCGGCTGCAGTTTTGAAGTGCTCTAATTGATGAAAGCGTTTGTTCTTTCTTTGTCCAATATAAACCTTTCTTGTATTGTTTTTTTAAATCGATCATTTGTTCTCTCTCTCTCTCTCTCTCTATGCTCTCAATTGAAGAGGAAAGGGGAAGCCACCAAACCTTACCCAGGTGATTGTCTGCCGCAATTTAATATTAACAAATGCTATGCTGATCAAAATTTGAGTAGTCTGATTTGTCACCATTTCATTGGTTTAATGAGTCCTGTCATTAAACTAATTTTTATTTTTTATTTTTTTGAATTTTTCAAACTATTAGTGTACCAAAGAAAATACGTATGATTGTAGAGGTCAAAGTCAAATAACTGAAAAACAAGGGATAATTGGCCATAAATTCACTATTCAAGTGGGATAAGGCATTAAAATAAATAAAAAAATAAAAATAAAGTGGGAACAGTTCATGAACTAAAAATCAGTTATATTAATGGGAAATAACAACTCAGCGTATCTGTAAAAAAAATTAAATTAAGGATAAATTTTATAAATTTTAATAATTAAATTCATAAAGTTTTTTATGTTTCAGTAATTACTTTTGAAAGATAAAACTGATTCCTTTATAAATGAATAAAAGTAAAAGCAATATGCAGAAAATACAAAAATAAAAATAAAAACAAAAAAAAAATAAAAAAAATAAAGATCCAAAGGGCCAAACAAAAATCTAACAAGAACTACAAATAAAAAAGTTGTCAAAAAAATCAGCTACTGTATTGGGAAATTTACCAATTTTATCACAGATGTGGTTTGAAAAGAATACTTACAATAGTAAGGGATGATTGAGAAAAAAGTTGAGTGTTGAAAATTTAAAACTATCTCTCTTCATAGACATAAAAAAAATTCAAATTTACACGCTGAAAAAGTTAAAGGTGTATAACATATGTAAATCAAAAAGTCTAGGCGCACAGAGGATCGAACATAGATCCAAACACAAAAGCTATATGGAGGTCATCGGGCTGAACAACGGGGCAAAACTCGTCGACTGCAGTTGTCATGGTGTCTTTCAATCGTCTGGTGGAATTGTTTTTATGTTTGGTCCTCTATGTGCGCAGCATTGTTGTAATTAACTTATGTCATTTGTGAGTTTGATTATCACAAATAGCATAACACAATATTGTGAGAGTTATAACTATAAAAAATAAATAAATAAAGTAGTTATAACCAAAGATCACATGAGGTATAACCAAAAAACTCTTGAATCATAACCAAAATTATGTAATAACTAACATCGTATCATAATTGACAATACGGTAGATCATAACTAAATATGTATATGGTAATAGAATTTCTCCTCACTTTTCTTTTTTAACAAAAAAAAAAAATATTCTATGAAGACAACATTTGTAGGTCCTGGCTCTAAGGTAGTTGGTTGATGGCCAAATTTAACCCAATTTATAGAAAAGATCCCATCATTGGGGTAAACAATAGAGCTCACTCACACCCCACATCAAGAGATGAGTCTAACAATAAGAGTACAATGCCAACTCTAAAGTGTGCACCCACCAAGTATCGAACCCTACTATTCCGAAAAGCAGGTACATTATCCATGTTACCACCAACGCCATTACTTTCTACACCAAGACTGCTGCCGCTATTTCCGACAACCATTTTCCTGATTCAGCGATTATTTTTCCAGCTCCCATTTTTTCAAAACTACTGCATTGTGGACAATTTGATGGCAACAAATAACTGATATGATATGGGGGATGCATTGTGTTTAGGCTAAATTATATTGCAAGTAATATCACATTAACAATGTTATTCTTGGAAGTGCTCTGCACAACTAATGGTGAAATAAAAATAGAAGATAATTTTCATTAATATGTCATAATGCACAAGCATGAGTGTTATATATATATATATATATATATGTTATTATACAATTGACCCTTGCAATGCACCTGTTATTTTTTTTCAAAAAATATTTAATGGTACAATGTGGGTTATAAAAGAATAATTTTAATTTTAATTTTAATTTAAAATTAAAGTATGATTTTAATTATTACTTGAATACTTATATATATATATATATATATTAATTTTAGTTAAATGATTTGTGTATTTTGATAATTTTAGTTCAATCGTATTATAAAAGTGTAATTATTATATAATAATTTTGTATGATATATATAAATTATAAAATAGTAAAATAAATACTCATTTTAATATTAAAAATAATACTTAAATTAGAAGAATAATTAGTAACATAAAATTAAAAATAATTTTAATTATTTAATTTTCTTTTATATTTATTTGGAAAATAAAACATGTAGAAATAGAAATTATATAAAATTTATTTAAAAAATTAAATATAAAAATGTTGTAGTTAGATTATCAAATAATGATTTTTTATGATATATATATATATATATATATTAAATTATAAGATTATAAAATAAAGTCTCTTAATTAAATTAAAATATCAACTATATAAAAAAAGGGAAATCCTTTGTTCCTTGAATTGAGCTACCTCGAATGGCTCGAATTTGTGTTCACCGGACGACTGGCCACTTGTCTATTGCGGTTGTCACCTTGTCGATTGCGGTTGTCAGCCTTTTTACCAGACGACCGACAAAACAAAATTCGAGCCATTTGAGGCAAGATCAAATTCAAGGTACGTAGCATTGCTCATAAAAGAAATTCAGTTGTGCTAGGGACCACCAGCACCCCCAGTTTTTTTTCGTTGGCCATTTTTTTTTTTTTTTTCTTTCCTTCCAATCACCCACAGCCACGTGGGGCTGGGGGTCACTGGGGGTGGGGGTCTGCCGTATTTTTCAAAGAAATTCAACAACAACAAATCAAGAAAGAATCACATAACAATATCTAAATCCAAAAAGAAAAAATAATAAAAACATCCAAATGATATATACATCTCAGTGTATGAAATGATTAATTATCTGTAATATGATATCAAAACATGAAAGGACTTACTATTCAACAATTGAAAAAGTAACTTAAGCAGTAAATCCAAACTTTAGCGGTTCCTTGAAAGTATCATTATTGTACAAGTTTTTCCTCCAGTGAGTTATGATTATATAAAAATAATGTAGGAAATGAAATATAATTTCATATATAGAATCACTATAAAATTTAAGCGACAAATTCATAATATAGAATAATATATAATTGGTATTGAGTATAAAATAATGCACGGAAAAATAAGGGGGGGGGAAAAGGCAATTTAGCATTAAAAAAATCCTAATACCCTTAAAAAAATTACGAAGAAAAATGTGAAACGCAAAATTGGTATTGGATTTGTGGATTATTTCAATTTACCATGAAAAATATATAGAAAAGAAAGAGTAAATTTCATTTTTACCCCTATACTTTTACACGATTTCAAGTACACCCCCAGATTTTGAATAATTGCAATTTTACCCCCAAAGTTTTTGAAATTGTATCAATTTTGCCCCTACCGTCACATTTGACACGGAAAAATTTTAAAAAAATTACATTTTGACCCCAAATTTCAAAATAAGATGCAACCTCACCTTCTCTTACCCAAACTCACTATCTCTTCTCTTTTTCTCTTCTCTCTAACTTAGAGCTAGGGTTTTTGAAGATTTTTACTCCAATATTGCTCTAACAACTTTGAATCTGCTCATAAGGTTCACATCTACACCAAACCCACTTACTTCTCTCTCATTCTCACCCTCACCCTCCTATTCACATTCTCCCTCTCTATTCTCCTTCCTCGCAATTGCATCATCATCAAAAACCATAGACCTAATTCCAACACCATGGCCTTACCAATTCTACTCCCTACTCTTCATGAACCACAATAGAACACTCTAGAACACAGACTTCTGGTACAACTGGCTTAATGGTCGCAATTTCAACATCATCTAGAACCAACTTGGCAATAAGCTCACATACGACCTTCAATGGAGCAACGACACTTCCTATGTCTACACCTTGGATGATTTGGACCCAGAATGCCAAGTGTTGCATGTTGAAGTCGGAATCCTCAGACCTAATTGGCTCGACGACGCTAACTACCTCAGCCAACACTACATTGATGGATTTCTTTGCAATGTTTGGGAGAAGATTGAGTTTGTTTAAAGGAAAGAAAGTAAGAGCTTCTCTCTCTAGATTCTAGAGAGAAAAACCTCTCCCCTCGGAGTAACATGGTGAATGGTCAATTTCTCTACACATTTACAGTGAGAGAGAGTAAAATATCTATGTATTTTGGTTAGTTATTGTGATTGTAATCTGGGTGTCCTTGTTTATTTTTCCAACTGGTTGTGTGGCTTTATAGAGTGACAGAAAGCTTGGTGGTTTCTATAGATATGCTGTATAGATGGATATTGGATGAAAACCTCCATTGAGGAGTGGATGTTTCAATGGGTTTTCTTGAGAGAGGAAGCCATGCTTTTCAAAATGGCTTTGTTTCTTGGAATGGGTTTCATGTAGTCTAGTCTGGCGAGGTTGTGTAGAGATGTTGTAGATTCGTTTGTGGTGTTGTTGGTTCTTAGTGGACATCCAACCAGTTGATCCAGAGGTCGTCCGGCCGGTTGACCGGCTCCGGTGTCTGATGTGTTGATATTAGTTGTTGTTTACTGGTGTTTTCCATCTGTAGGGTGTGTTATACTCTCATTGGATTGTTGTATCAATGAAGAGTTAGAAGGCAACGTATTAGTCTTATGTTCGGTCACCACCGGTACTAGTATGTTCAGGTTCAAATGCAACATGTCACGACCCAAACCCGCCCCTATGGGTTTAGCACCGTAATCGACCAGTAATCTGTGATTACCGAAGGCCTGCTTAACAGTAATAACAATAATATAGAGTACAGGGGCTGGCGAAAGCCAAAACAGTAATAAAAGATGTCCAATGAGCTGTGACAGTCTGTATGCAAAAAGACTTTTCATAACACATTCACATTCGGAACAAAAGCAGTATGTACATACATATACAATCATCCAGGGCAGGGACCTAATCCCTATTAGAACAGTATAGTACAGGTATAGTCAGTCTATACAAAAACAGAGACAGAAATGATGAATCTAAAACACCCCAAAAAGCCCTAGCTTGAAGGACTTGGAACTTCTCAGTGAG